TCATCTCTTTCAATTGAAAACGTCAATTAATCTATATTCCTCAAATCTAGGACAGCTAATTAATTTCCTGTGTTGCTTCTTGTTTTCATGTTTGGTGGTTCCGAGAAATAGGATCTTTTTGAAGAAGTTAAATTTTGTCTTCGTTTTTGAGGAATTTTGACCTTGATATTGTCAATTATTGAATTTATGGTTTATTGAGTTGCCTTACGTTGCGTTACGTTTTCGTATAGTGCCATAATTTCGACGATTATTTCGGGTTTCTACAACCATCCATTCGGTAAGTTTTGCTTTGCACGTTATTACCAGAGTGGATTATGACTTTTTCTATTTAATCATTAGTGAAAAGCTGCCATAAGGAGTAGAGTAAAGACCACCTCACTCACTCCAGGATTTTGAATCCAGACCTCGATCGAGACTAATCCAGAGTATTTTCGAGGTAAATAAAACCCATTCGAACACCATTTCCAAATCCAAGCGGCAGTAAAAGACATTTAATAATCTAAATTGTAAACAAACACCAGCCTTCCTATTGGTTGAAACGCCCTACCTGGACCAGTGCGCATGCACGGAAGACATTTGATAGGTTGTAATGAAAATGACCGGTTTGTCATTTACTGCCGCTTGGATTTGGAAATGGCAGGTGAGACATTCCCAACTTACAGCGACCACAAAAAATTTAAAAAAAGAAAAGAAAAATAGTATAAAACCCACGTTACAGAAAACTATTCTCGCACTCATTCGTTCGTCCACTCGCTCCTTCGGCCCTCGTGACCAAATTTCGAATTCGTGCGGGAATATGTGGACTTCTGCAACTACTATTGTAAATATTTCACTTTACAATGTATGATACACATTTTTTTGTGAAAATTCTTATGCGAAACACGTTTTTTCAACACACTTGCGGAACTATGACATTATTTCATCCACTTTTCTAAAGTAGATGCGGGACGAGTAAAATATGAAGAAGCTATGAAATTTACGTGATAAAATTTCAAATGATTTGAAATTGATTTATGCAACAATTCCATTCGATATTTTTTCAAACAGTTACGAGAGAAACGATTTTGAGCCTGCTGCTCAAGGATAAACCCACAACTGACTAAGAAAACCTTTTAAGTATTCAATTAAAAGTTTTAGCACTTTTTGTCTCCTTCTTCCCCCTCTTTATTACACCTATTATGCCTTAATTTCGACCACATTCACCCGACTGACATTTCCATTTACACTCTGCTGGCGCGAGCTAAAAACGGTGCAAAGTTTGTCTGCAAATTAAATTAAAAACGCTTTTCAAGCTTATTGTATTATTATGGTTTCAAAGTGGATCAGGTTTTTTAGGAAATTAGGTCGTTCAGACAATACTCATTATTTGACTTGTCTTCGCCATCGAGGTCTTCAGAGACTGAATATTATTTGTAAAGAGGTGAGACATAGGTATTCAATCTACCCCCCAGAAACCAACACCTATGAAATGCCCCAAGTTTTTGGAATTGGCTGGGCTGGCCTTTGCCCTGGGTACTTGTGTTAGCCAGGTTCCCCCAGCAACATTTGACGAGTCGCTGTTCGATACTCATTTACATACACGCTTGTGCCTTTCAACCACGAGCCCTGGAATCAGCACAGCGGCGACCATTTCTACCGGTGCAGGAATGTGGTCGACCTAGCACCGTATTCCTTGTGTTAAATGGGCTCACTAGTTGAGTCTCCTTTCCCTTGACAAGGTCCAGGATCGGAGTTTTTCCCTTCTAGTTTTCGGAACACCCCAGTCATCCGGTACCGAGATATACTGGGATATGGTAGACATTAGAAGTACTTCGCCCGCGCCAATTTTTGAGACTACAGCTATAACTTAGGTTTCATCCTTAACCTCCCAGCCGTGCTCGGGTCCTCGTTTGAACAGACGAGTTACGGTTCGAAGTAAAGCCCATGAACCGGGAAGCTGGGCTCATCGAACTTTTAGCCAGATTAACTGGATCATTCGTAGAGTTCCCCTCTTCTTACGGAGGACGGGACGATACCACTACCATCTTTGTGGAGAGAGGCTCAGGAACTTTGCCCAGAATTCTGGGATCGTTCGAGAGCTACTATCTTCTTCCTCTATCGTGAGATGGTAGACACGACAGTTTGGTGGGTGTTAACCAAATTGCACCAGCAAACCAGCCTGCATGGTAATGTAGGTTGGGACAGGTGACTGACTGACAGTGAAAATAATTAATATAGGCAAACTTTACCTATGTTTACAATTAAAACCACGTATCAAAGTTACTATCGACTTAAAAATACCGTTTATTAATCATACTCAATATAATAATAAAAAATAAAGTAGTGTAGATCCTACAAAGTTGGTGAAGAAATTGAACTTTTACTGCCAATAAATTGAATTACCATACGTTAGTTGATTCAATTAGAAGGAAATGACAAATTCATCTGGGAAGGAAAACAAGAACATTAAAGTTTATTATCAGCTAGAATGGAGATTTGATTAAGGCGAGAGTAGACTAAAATGTATCGTCATCTATAAATTTCAATTTAAAAATTTCATAAAATTCCATTATTTATCGCCCATTAAAATTTCGGATATAACCCCTCCTGGCGTGAATTTATGAGCCGTTACAATGTCATTTGATTTGCCGGTGAAGTTCGACCGTAAATCGAGCAATTTCGGAAAGATGTAATAAAAGACACCGTTCTCTCTCTACACTCCAGGAAACTTCAACAATAAAATCCCGCCCCTGTATAAGACCCGATTCCGTTTTCGCAGTTAAATGAAACCGAAGTGGTTTAAAGTTATTCCTGGCAACCTTTAGTGTTTTCGAAATGCACGGAGACTTTCGTTTTTCTCGCTTTCGAGCTGAATTATCCGTGAAATTTTATCTTTTCGCCTTGGGGTTGTCCATATGCGATATTGAAGATTGCTTATAAAAAAAAAGATATCTTTCTGGGATTGTACCTAAGATTGATATTCATAAAATATAACTTTTTTCTCGAAGTCTAATGGTAAAACCGCATCGGCGTTGGGTTATTCCTTGATCCCTAAGCTAAGGGCCACAATTTGCAGTGAGAGACAGTTTCACTAAAACATTTCGTACAGTTAACTTCATCGCCCAAAAATTTTAGGAAAATTACCCGGTAAAAAATTAGGGCAACAAAAGCACACAGTTAAATACCAAGAACGTGGCTTTCTTTAGAGAGGGTGTACTACTGCTTCTTTTTTGAGGTAAAGTTGCATTTTGCAATTTTTTATTTATTTGATGGAACATTCTTTAAATAGGTTGAAAAGTAGGACATTGCATGACCTACTCGAGAATTCTTTTTCACTTTAGTAGTAGTTACAAATTTGAATTATTTAAATATGTGAAAACTCGAAGAAAACTATTCAAACTTGCTGGAAATGGCGTCAATACCGTACTGACAGATAGGATTTAAAAATGACAATGTTGGTTTCATGAGGGAATCAGTTATGAGGGACGAAAAGGAAAGAAAAAACGTACATTGAAACGCAGGTTACTTAACTTGTGTAGCGAATTTCTATCAAAGGCGATTTAGCCCAGGAAATCGTAAGGGAAAAAAAAGATAGATTCGCCGCCAAAAGGACTGCATGCAAAAAAAGGGGTCCACAGCCGCGTCAGATCAATTTTTCATTCAAATATTCGCCTCTGATTCCGTTCAAAACCTCTCATTGTTCAATTAACAATTCCAAATTCAATAAACATAACAACATTAATGGCCGTTTGCACCGACCATTTTAAGAAAGCCTTAGCGATAAGTATTCCTTAAAATGACATTTTTACGTGGAGAAATGTCACTTTAAAGAATACTTATCGCTAAGGCTTCCTTAAAATAGTTGGTGCAAACGGCCATAATAAACTCAAACAACAACCAAGACAAGTTGCAGAAGGCCACATATTCTCGCACGAATTCGAAATTTGGCCACGAGCGACGAAGGAGCGAGTGGACGAACGAATGAGTGCGAGAATAGCCTTCTGCAATGTGTGTTTTATACTATTTTCTCGATTTTGGATTTTATTTTTCATTTTTAAATTTTTTTTTGTGAACGCTGTTAGTTGGAGATTTTCTATTTTCAAAATATGTCAGTTGGTGGCACTTACTTACCAACCAACTGACAGGTGGATTCTATCATTTTAGAAGGTTTGACAATTTGGCAGGTACCAATAGGTATACTTTGAAAACAAAATGTCACTAAAAATCGTTGAAGAATGAGCTTCATTCTTCAACGATTTTGCGTGCGGGAATAATGACATTCTCACATTAAAATCGAGAAAAAACATTATGCACGTTCCACGTCGACCGACTGACTGACTGATGACAGTTCTCTGATAAGGAAGCAGCGTAAACAGCTGACTCCAGTGGCGGAGCAAGTCATTGCGTCTTACAGTCAGCTACTCTTCTTGACGTCCTCGTCAACCTACGAGAACAAATACACCATATTAATTGTAACGAACAACTTGTGTCCTACGATTATCAAACAACTGCCTCAAATCAACTGAACGATTTTCTACACTGCTCGAAGCGTAATGCAGTAATAAGTTATTATCACACGCCTTTATTGGCTCTGAAGCTGAAGCTATAACTCCGACGCAATGCTCTTGAAAATATGTTCTTTGACTTTTATAGGTAACTTCTTTGTTTACAGAAGAAACTTTTTTCACTCTAACCACTTTGACTTTTTGTGTTCTTACTTTATTTGTATAACTTTGCCTTTAAGCATTCGATTTTTAGGAAGTTTGTGATTTATCAGAAACGGATTCTGCTGCTTCATGGTTTATAAATGTTAGTGAGATGCATCTCTTTTGCAGAACTTTTCCCGCCATCCGTGCGCGCGTATTTTATTTCTTCGGAGAAATCTTTTTCTCACTTGTTGAATCAACTTTTGATTGAAAGGGAACTTTTCTCTCGGAAGAAACGTTTTTTCCATCGCCACCTACATCGTTGGAAATGTTATACATTGAAAAAACGTTATCTCCATTAACACGTTGTTCTTGTTAATCTTTTCCTTTTGAAGAAACGTTTTCTTCATTAATACGTTGTTCTGGAGAATCTTTTCCTTTCCAAGGAAAGTTTTCTTCATGAACACGTTGTTCTGGGAAATCTTCCTTTTGAAGAAACGTTTTCTTCATGAACACTTTGTTCTTGGGAGTCGTTTCCCTACGAAGATACTTTTTCTTCATGAACACGTTGTCCATAGGAAACGTTTTCCACATCCTTCGATTCGGAATCTTCTGTTTCAGTGTCCACTCCGATATTAAATAGCTTCAAACGATCTACAGCACATATTTCTCTGTATTTCTTTTGACATCTCGAGCCAGGCAAATCTTCTATCACATATCGATCGTTGCCTAAATCAGCTGTGACAATGTAAGGTCTATCATATTTAGCTGATAGCTTTCTACTATGCTCTTCATTTGATGTCAAATTTCGTCTCATCATCACTTGTTTTCCAATTTCATATTTGCGGTTCTTCAATCTTTTTGTATCATATCTTTCTTTTCGTTTTGCTTGATCTTGATCAATAGCAGCTTTCGCTTGAACCCTCCGTTTCTCTAATTCATTTACTTTTTGAACGGAAATGGGACATTTGCTATTTCATTCGTTAAAAAATGGATCTTCTTTTCACCTTGGTCGGTATCCAAACATTAATTCGTGAGGACTTCTTCCATTAGTTTTTGAAAAGGTAGAACTTATTCCAAACTTTATTCTTGTCAAAGTCGTCCCATTTCCGTTCATCATCTGTCATTGATCTTATTCCTGTAAGCAAAGTTCTATTAGATCTTTCGACTTGTCCATTCGTACGAGGTGTTGCTGTAGCATTTTGAACGAATTTGATATTGAACTTCGTAGTTTATTCCTTAAAAGTTTTACTAGAATAGCAAGTTCCTTGATCACAAATTATTCTTCTTAGTATTCCGAAGGTGTCACTTATCTCTTCCATAAATTTTATCAGAGCACCAACTTTGGTATTTGGAACTGCTTTGGTGCAAAAGTACTTTCTAGAAGAATCTACTGCCGGAATCAGGTATGAATTTCCTTTGCAACTTTTCACAAACGGACCTAAATGATCCAGATGTAATGTGTCCATCGGGGCAACAATTTTCTCTATTGGATACAGAGCACCAGTACGTTTTCATGATGGTTCCTTTTGTTATAAGGACACATTAAGCAACTCTGTATATATCGTGAAACATACTTGCGCATCCTGGGAAACCAGTGATTTTGAGAAATTGCAGACCAAGTTTTCTCTGGTGCAAAATGGCCAGCTGAGTCATGATAGTAAAACGTAATAGCTTTTCTTGCTCTTTCTGGTACCATCCACTTATTTCCATCTTTCGTAGTTTTCAAAATACGGTTGTCTTTTAGAACATATTGCTTGTGAATATTCTTCTCTTCTTCATCCTTCGAACGTTCCGAAAGGACCTGATGTAGATATTTACAGCGATCATCCGACAATTGAGCATATAGGTAGTATCCAATCAGACTCAGTAATATTTATAGCCAGAACATCAGTATCAGTACCTTCTACATCAGCAGGTTCATGACTGCTTAGGGCATCTACGGGTGCCATCCTAGAGCCAGGCCGATATTCAACAGAGAAGTTGAATTCTAAAGTAATCAATCACCATTTAGCTTTTCTTGGTATCAGATCTTTCTTACTAAAAGTGCTTCGTACTGAACTACAATCAGTGACTACTTTAAACTGGATTCCTAGAAGGTAAACACGAGATCGCTACATGCAATTAACGACGGCTAATGTCTCTAACTCTAGGAGTGGTACCGCTGCTCTTCCTTGCTTGTTTGACGCCTATAATGCAACACAGGTGTCAATTTGCCATCTTGTAGTTTCTGTAACAATATGCTTCCTAGTCCCCATTTCGATCTATCTGTGGGTAACTCAGTCTCTAAATTAGGATCATAAATATCTAAAATTGGTCGAGTACATAGTATCTATTTGCGCTATCGCGAAGAATCTTCTTGATCTTTATTCCAACAAAATTTTTCGGTCTTTTTAGTAAGTGTGGCTAATGGTTTTGTGATATGAGCGAAATTCTTGACGAATTTCCGAAAATCACTGGCAAGTCCTAAAAACTGCCTCACTTCATGGACATTTTTAGAAACTGAAAACTTCTCTAGTGCAGTTATTTTCGATTTTCCTGGTCTGACACCCTCTGCCGATATCTCATGTCCCAAATAATCAATGGTTTGTCGAAAAAAAATAACATTTAGTCATACGTAGGGTAAGTCCAACGTTACTAAGTAGTTTTAAGATTTCTGATTAAGCTCTATATCCGTCGTCAAAGTCAACTGCCGGAATCAAGATGTCATCTATACAAGCCAGTGCTGTATTAAATCCTAATGATCCAAGAATTAGGTTAATACTTCGCTGAATTATAGCTGGAGCATTTGCTAATCCAAATGGCATTCGTGTATACTCATAATGCCCATCCGGCGTAGTGAATGATGTTTTTGCTCTAGACTCTGCAGCCATTGGTATTTGGTGGTAGCCTGATGCCATATCAAGTGACGTAAAGTGCTTGCTTCCTCTCAAACGTTCAAGATGATCATCTTTTCTTGGTAGCGGAAATATGTCCTCAACCGTTTTTGCATTCAACGCTCGGTAGTCCACGCACATACGCATCTCACCTGTTTTCTTTTTTACCAATAAATAGGGCTCGCATATGGCGAATTTGATTCCTGAATGATATCGTTGTCTGAAAAGTCTTGGACAATACAACGCACTTTTTCCTGTTCGGTAAAAGATAAGCGATAAGGGCGATAAGTTACTGGTTTACTGTCTTACAAGTTTATTGACATTACACAACCTTTAAAACAACCCAACTCATTTAAATTTTCAACAAAGCAATGATGGTAAGTATTTAAAAGTTTAAGGAGACAAATTGCCTCAGACTCTGATAAATTATTATCATAATTCAAATCAGATAACGTGAAGGTTTTAAATTGATAGTTCGTTCAACTTGTAAAATGCTTACCTCGTTTACAAAGTGTTTCTCTTGTAAACACGGCGTTCCCCTGGTAAATAATTCTTCTGCTTTGAAATCCAGCAAGTTGCAGGACAAGTTCATCACTGGTAAAACGCCATTTTGCGAATAAGTTATGCACCTTGGAATACAATATTCATAAGATTGCTTGAGTCTGGTTCCAAATTCGACAAAAACTTCTCCATTGTAGTCGTTCGATTCGTTTGAAGCGATATTCACATGACCAATGTGATTCGGCGGTATTGCTAAGTCTTCCAAAATAGTCATCATGATTTTGCTGGGTGGTAAATTAATAATAATAATAATAATAATAAAAATAAAGTTTATTTGCAATATAAATAATTTTTTAATAACAAATATATACTATATTATATACATAGTATATATTTCATACTAGTTACAATAATTGCAAAACGGACCTGGAAAACAATTTGAAAATTGATCGAGTCCAGACCCGAAAGTTTTCCTCACTATCCGAACGAACGTCCGCCATAACCACAGAACACAGATATTTTTTTTTTTGTTTTTAACTACAAAAATCCCGTAGTGGTGAACGGAGCGGTGATCTTAATAGTATTGAAAACCTGTTGACTCCGTAGGTAACAATTCAAAATCCTCTGCAAGCAAAATGAGAAAAAGAGAAAAATAAATAATGTATAATAAATATAATAATTGTCAATCTCAGGTAATTGCTAAAATAAATGTCATGTCTGTCGATTTTAATCTGATACTCTAAGGGCCGATACTTTTGCTCTCGATTAACGAATTTGATACGTCGTCAAAATTTTGCATGGGCCAAGGTCTATAAGTATGAAGTGGTTAAAGCACATTCAAACCCCTGATTATTTTTAACGGCTGTTAAATGAGAGCAAAAGTACCGGCACTAAAGGAATGTGAGCTGGTGGCATTAGAACTCCAATGGTTACCTGATGTCACACCTGTTTTTGCCATATAAAACACTTCCTCGCTCCTGAAACGGAAAGTGTCAGATTAAAAACGACGGACTTTACCGTCACTTGGTACAAGTACTTACTGAGTAAGTAAAAATCCTAAAGAAAAACTGTTATAGCACTCTGTATTTGTAACTTAACCTTATAGACTGTGAGATAAGCGCTGTTTAGTGGAGTCATTTTTATTTGTCTGGCATTTCGAGGGCTGAATGTGGCTACTAAGCTGATGAGAATATGGGTGATTTTAATGCCGGCCTCCCGTTCAAAAATTTGCAGAAGAAAAAAATTGATTTACATGAAGAATTTTTTTTAATGATCTCAAATTTTCTAGCTTTTAAATAAAAGATTGACATTGATAAATAATTCACCCATGAAAAATATCAGATGCTTGTCAATAGCTGAAAAAAATGCGGATGGGTGTCAACTTCCAAGAGAAAAGAAAAGAACCTTCCGCGTTTACTTTTTGTCTGGCAATCGAGAGAGTGAAAGGTTTTGTTGTGAAAATAACGCTGCAAAATCGCCAGACGGTAATCACAGTTCGAAATCGAGTTTTCCGGCGAAACATTCTGTGAACATTTCGAACAGGAGGCAGGCATTAAAACCACTTATATTCTCATCAGCTAACTAGTCACATTTATCCCTCAAAATGCTAGACAAAAAAAAATGACTCCACTAAACAGGCCCTATCTCAGGGTCTATTAGCCAAGGCTAGCCACTTTGAAATGAACCACGAGAAAATGAACGTAACTTTAATGTAACTTGGTCAACCATTGATAGTTAATTTAATAGCTAAAGCTATAGCTCTTGAAAAATATTTAAATATTATGTGTATAAAAAGCAGAATTAGATATATTTAAAAGAAAAGAAAATGTAAGAAAATCTGTCATTATTAGGTTATGTCTCACCTGTTGGAATTGGGTTTTATTTGCCACCAAAAATACTCTAATATGCTGGATTAGTCGGAATTCGAGATCCTGGATAGAATTCGGTGATCACTAGGGCAACTTTTTACTAATGATCAAATAGAGAATGTCAGAATCCCTTGCGGAAAAAATCGTGCAAAGCAAAACTTACCGAAATGGTTTTTAAAAATCCTGAATCATCGGAAAAATTATGGCACTTTACGAAAACGTAACGCAACGTAAGGCAACTCAATGTACCATGAATTCAATAACTGAGAAAATTAGGTCCAAACTCCCATTTAGGACGAAGACAAAAATTAAATTCTTCAAGAGAGACCCTTTTCTCGGAACAACCAAATCATAAAAGGAAGATTCACCACAAGTAATTAATTAGCTGTTCTAGATTTGAAGAATGGAGATGAGGCAAAGTAACGACAAATGTCAAAAATAAAATCAAGGAGAATTGTAAGTACCCAGAATTACACAGAAAAATATATTGTGAGAAAAATGACAACAGCTGACGACTAATGATAACAACAACAAGTAATTAACTACTATAACAATCGTAATTTGAAGAATACGACATTGAAGAAGCAATTCGTGTTGCAAAACGTAAGCGCTACTAAAGGAATCGATGATCCCAAAGAGTAACTCGGTGGTTTATGGAACCAGATTCCGGAACTAAATCTGGTACTGAGTTCAGCAACCGAACAGAGTACGTGCAGCATACAGTAGGTACACACTTCGTGAACGGATCCCGATTTGGAAAGCCTAACCCAAGAAATAATTGCTTTGTTCACAGAAAATTAATTTGGAAATGGAGTTAAAATATTGATTGAAATCGAGGAAAATCATTAGTCGTCACAAAAACTAGTCACAAGTTAAAATAGAATTTAAATAATGAAGATTAGAAAATTTACAGGATCTGCAACTCCTGTAATTATTGTTGAATTTTTATAAAGCGAAAATGTAAACAAAGCCTAATAAAATCAGGGAAAAATTAGATATCTATAGGAATTTTGAATGGAGAACTAAAAATGAATGTGAAATAGTTCAAGGCAATTTTGGCACGTTACAAGCTAAGGTACATACTGACACATCTAAGGCGAGCCTTTGTGTGTTTGTAGATTAACATAAACGCATAAAGTAACCCAATATTACTCTCCAACTTAGTGCTGTTTATTTTGAACAACATTTAAATATAACCCACAACAAATCTCCACTAATTTAGCTTCTGCTTTCCGACTGCTTAGAAATCCAGAGAAACTTACAATCCAAGTTTACTATTATACTACAACTACTATCTCACTGCTGCGGCATTCCAGAAATTTCAATTGAAAACTTAAAACATCCAGAAACTACATTCAGAACATGCCAGGGCAGTTTTTCAAAGAAAGTAACGAAACTTCGTTGTTTTTTAATTCTTGAAATTTATTGTCTTCTTGCAACGGCAGGCGCCACATTGTCAGTACAAAGATCTTAAAATTCGTTGAAAATGTCACACCAGGGGGCTGACAACAACCGAATATCGTAACCGGAAACACTTCTTATTTTCACAGTTGGACCATAAAATATTTCTTCGGCAATATTGTTCTTGGCAAATGACAAAAGTCTCAATTTACTCCAGAACCAATTGAAAAAAATCTAAAATCTTGAAGTCTATGTACGATTTTTAATTCAAACATAATTAGAGCGGTAATGATTGCTTTTATCAAGCAAAGTGTACCGAGCTTCACTTCTCGACGCCTCTATTCAATATTTCCATTCCTTTGCAACTTCAAAAGATTTTTTTTATTAAATACGATTGGAAGTTTCCTTTGATGTGAAATTCTAGAGTACCTTCAAAGAGGGTTGTTTAATACTCATTTAGTGCGTTAAGAAAATATTAAATTGCAATAATACAAAGTAAAAATTGTCAATTTATGATTTGGCATAATTTAACGGGACAGTCAGACGTCTTGCTTCACATTACTCAACTAACTTGGGTGCTTTTTCCCCTTTCTCGCCTGAGATAAATGACTAACTTGATTAATTTCTGAAATAATTAATTTCGTTCCCTCAGCGCATTTACACCTATTGTCACCCCCTTTTTAGAGGAATGATTAAATTAGTTGAATTTAATTTGCTAAGTATTTTTGAAATAGGATAATTGATTACGTTTAAATAATTCAGTTTAGTGTATGTATTGGAATTCGGACGTTTGCAAATAATTTTCAATTAGTGCGAACGTAATTTCACCTCATCCAATCATTTTTTTTTTTTAAACATTCCGCAAATTTATCGGCTAGCAATTTCAGCTTGCAAGTGCAAAACTGTCAGGCAATGTTAATTATAGAGAAGGGAGATTTATGAACTGATGATCTAATTAATTTCGTTATAGTTCAGTTGACAGATGGCAGAGCGAAAGGTAGATAGATTTACCTGCTGGGTCATTCAAGCCATTACCCAAACTATGCATTTAGAAAATTTATATAGTTTTTCACCATACAGAATTTAAAATAGTTTGGGTCTGTTCGGCCAAAATTTGAGGCGTTTAAAAAAAAAAAAAAGCTGGGTTTAATTTTTTCTGTGACCATAACTCTGATTATGCCCAATTTGCTGACTCCGCATTTCAAAGTGGAAATTTCGGCGTAAACGATAGCGCGGGAAAGGGTTAAGTATTTGCATTAACTAATTACGAAGGGAGTAGCAAAACTTGATTGTCTGAGCTTTTTACGAGCCGCTTTAAAAGTTAAGTACCAAATCGGCCCTTTCCGCAATTACCTACTCTTTTTGGGGGTGCAGATATGTTTTTTCTTTTACTGGATTATTCTAAACAACACAATAATTATGTTCTATCTGCTAATGAACATGAGATTAAATCTGCAAGTCTACATCTACACGTATAGTGCTGCTGGTAGATTAGAACACAGCACGGCAACCAGGCGTGTCTCTTTACAAATTAAGATGTCATTATTTTAATGCGTTTTCCAACCTAAGGAAATGTTTTCAATTTAGTTAAAACGACAGAGATGGAGGTAGTGGGTGCAGCCTGCAAGAGTTCTCTCTATAATTTCATTATTTTTGACTTAGCACAGAAAATGCATTTAATTTGTTTCAATTTTGCGTCATATTTTTTTTTTGTCTATTTAATTTACGAGATTTTCCCTTGGCTCAACATTGTCAGTTTTGTCACCACTCTACAATAGCCTTTGGGCGACAATAGAAATTTATCTGATCACCCAAACAACACCCTTTTTTGCGACAAATTATCTTTTTCAGGACTACAGAGTCTTTATCTAATCCCAGTTACCATTATTCTGCTCTATCATTTTTTTTTTTTTCGGGGGCAAACACCATAAAGAGTCATGGCGGGTTTTGTAGAAAATAGAATGGAGCTCCGGGTAGTAAGTATGTATCCTACGTTCTCATCTCGGGT